CCAATGAAACATATTGCTATACAGTGATTTATTTCATTTGATCTAGCTAATGACTTTTTTGCTTTTCCTAGAGGTATGTAAAATATTTCGAGCGCATCTTGACTCAATTTGGTGGTGAAGCTCTGCCAGGACGTAGGTACATTTCTTGTTTACTATAATTAATTCTTGATCTGATCTTCAAGAGGTAATTAAGTAGTTCATGTTGCAGGTGCATGCTGAGAGGATTTCGATTCCACAAGTGTTCATCCTGGATAAGGCCTTCAATTACTATATCTAGCCACAGTGGTAGGTTTTGTGCACACAATATTGGCAAAATAATATCCATCTATTATCCTATTATAGATAATGGATTGATTAGACATATCTTTTCTTACGCAACACTAGGTAATATTCCTGGGACACAGATATGATAAAACTAGTTATCACATAGTTATAGTACAGTGTAATTTGATATCTCACACGAGCCCGTACCGTAGAAAATGAGCACTCATTTGAATATTTTTAGTGATGTCTCTACTAAGTAGGATGCAAAGATAACTCAATCCAGCACAATATTTACGTTGTACTTTCTGCAGGCATCCTATTCTCAACAAAAAAGCATCCAAAGACTAAGGACCTTATGGTAAATTAGTTCAGTCTCTTTGTATCGAGCTTGCTTAATCGTTTCCTGTGCTTACATTTGTTTTAAAAGCCATATTTAGTTTCAAAGTTTTGTCCCTTCGTGATATATCATATTTAATTGTTGTACCATTGTTATTGCAGCCTGAAGATTTTTGGATACGAACACAAAGAAAAGGAATTATGGTTTTTGCTCTACCAGGTGAACCTGGTCTAACTGAGTTGGCAGGCGACTTCAAGATCTATTTTCATGATCACCAAGGAGATTTCTATTGGTTTGCAATTGATCCTTGTTCTTTTCAGTATTTCATATATGTGTACATGCCATTGAATGATCTATTTTTATCGTAATTTAAAAGTAGGGAGACGTACAAAAGAAAATAAGAGGGGGTTGGGAGGGGTGGGGGTGGGGATTGAGAAACTTCTCAGACTAATCAATAATGAAGCATTTTGTTCTAGCGCTACCCATAGCAACTCCTTGTGAGAAGAGGACCGCATGAGAAAATGTTAGATGAATAGTTTTTTGGGCACATAAGAATTTCATCCCTTTTTCCATTACAGCTGGTTAAACACGTCAATGATGGAAAACAGACTGATTTTAGATGTCTCAGAATTGGATGGCTTTGACAAGGTAATTGATATGCTTCTCATTTGTAATACTTTGTTATTATTAAGGGTTTTGGCTTTATCCTTTCTGAATATCTATTTTGTTCCCATGGATATAGCATTTTATGTTCAGCTAGTTTCTAATTGAATTTGTCTCTTCTTTCACAATCTATAAACATCTTTCAGAGGAAACTACCATCTCCAGGATTCAAAGTTGAGATTGTGATGGTGGATTATGATGGAAGTGTTCCAGTAAAGCCCAAGGCTGATGGTGCTTCCAAAGGAAAGGACCTGAGACAAGGAAACGTTTCTTCATCGAGTGAAGGAACCAAAGCTAATTTGAACAAGAACAAGGTGTCCGGGGGCCAAAATCGTGGTGATGATGTATTTTCAGATAGTGAAGGGGAGGAAGGTACACCTTCGAGTACAAGAAGTCAGACAAGAGCTTCACAAACTGCTGCTGCAGGTGTTGATTCTAGCTCCCAGAAGGAGCAGATTACCAATCTAACTCATAATACTGAACAACTTTCTCTTAGAAACAGCGATCCTAAAAATGGCGCAAGCGAGAACAAGAGCGAAACAGTTGAGAGAGCTGCTATTCCCAATCTCGGCTCAAGTGATATTAAAGCCATTGCAGCAGATGCATCTGTGTTTAGTTTTGGAGACGATGAAGATTATGAAAGTGAATAAGCCATAATTTGTATTTGATCTTTGTTTCTTTTCTCATAAGAATAGTAGTAGTAGTTATTTTGTACGAATTGGAGAATTCTTGAGGTTTTCTTTACAGATGTTGGAAAGGGAAGCCCCCATAATATAAGCACTCTTTCAGTCAAGTAATGCCTTTAGAGCCTATAGTATAGCTGAGTAGCTAAGAGCTTCTGGGAATTGAAAAACGCAGGAATCGACTTGTTTTGCGTTAATGGGGCTTTGAGGGACGTCTTCTCTTTCCCTTATCAAGCAAGTCACACCTAATCGCCCTTGAAACTATCTTATATTGCTTTAAGATGTTCAGAATAATCATCAGGGGATATCTTATGAATACACAAAATTCTGAACTAATCAAACATCTTGTATGACTTCAAGTTCTTAAAATGTTTAATTTGTCTATTGCTGATTCTGGAACTTTGAAATGCAGAACTTCTCTCCGATCCTTGGCTCAAGCAAATCAAAATATTATTAATAAAAAGAAAAGCATGACAACTAATAGCAAAGCAATGCAAAAAGTAATCAAGGAGCAGTCACCTAAACACTGTAAACCACAGATGATATCAGATAAAAAAAAAATCAAAGACTACATGAATATGCTAATACTACGAGAAGTTGCAAATAAGTTAAAAGGTGCAAATTAATTACAAGGAAGTTTCTATTTGCTCTTATATTCAAAAACAAAGGAAGTTTCTATTTGCACTTATATTCAAAAACAAGGAAGTTTCTCTTTGGACTAATGGTACAATATTAGAAGTTTCCTTGAACACTGTTAAATATAGAGACAAGAGAGCCATAAAAGAAAAAGAGGTAGACAATACTTGGTCAGTACAGACGCATTATTTAGACTCTTTCTTTATCGAGCTAATGATTCAAACTTGATTATCCATTTAATAACTCAGTCAATCCCATAAATGACAGAATGTTTGTTGGCAGTCAACACACTTAAATTTACTAATTTATCTTTGTAGTAATTAAATATCTTCAGTTTGCAGATTGTTTAAACTACTTTGACTACATATCCTTCTGTTGAAAAACAGCCTTTGCATTACCTAGTTTTTTAAAATCAAAACTTAGGCAAATAATTAAACCTAATTTGAAATTTGATCCCTTCCCAGATTCCTAGTCTCCTAGTTAGAATGTGAAATTAACCGTAAGAATCATACATGGAATTTTCACGAGTTTTTATATACGTAAATCTAAGCTTATTTTGACTTTTAATTTGCGTTTTCACCTGATAATTTATGTACCTACTTTTTATTCATGTTAAATATGAAGAGATCAATTATTTTACTCATTTTTATTTAACCTATTATAAACAATCAACAAGCCAACACGCAAAGAATTAAGAAAAACAAAATTGGTTTAAAAAGTTGGACACGCTTCTTCCGTGGAGCAAATGTATAAGATGATAAACATCATCAAACACCGAATAGGGAAAGATGGCATAAATATAGTTAACCAACACATCCTTAGAGAGTCAGAGTTCATAATTGGACAATTCTACTGACGTACCTCATAAATCTTTATCCTCAAACCCCAATGAAGCCATATCTTTATCAATTTTTCACCGCCTTATGATTCTCAATTCACATCACTAAGCTTATGATTCTCAATTGACCACTAAGTTTATGATTCTCAATCCACTTTATTGATTGAACACTCAAGATTCTCAATCTATTTCAATAACTACTAAACTACGTGCTTAGTACATTAAGCACTTAATTTTATACCAAGACCAGCAATAAGTTACTCGCTTCGTCCATCTTTACATTATTCATGTTTAACTTAACATACCTCTTTAAAAATATATAATTTGTTTAACCTACTTTCCTTTTTAATTCATTTTTACAAAATGATTATTTCCTTTCTTAATTTAAAATTTCACGTGACATGTTTTTTTTTTATGATGTAAGAATAATTCATTAGAAGGTATCAAGAAGATGCAAGGCAAAAAATTACAGCAAAAGATGGGTTTTGCTCCTGTACAAGAATTTACTAAATAACTAAAAAACAGACATAGTCCTCCAAAAAAAGATCAACAGTGATTACAGGGGCCTGGCTGAACCAGCCATATAAAAAGACTAAGGAGTTGGATTTAAGAATGTTGTTAGGAATTGAAATCTCATCAAAACATCTACGATTCCTTTCATTCCAAAAGATAGTAACAGGCACCATACACCTTTTTGATGGGTTTCCCAACTCTCCACAAACACCAGCTCTCATAGGCTTCTTTAATGGTATTTGGCATGACCCAGACAATTCCAAAGACTGATAAGAACATACTTCATATGCCAGTGCAAAAATAGATTCCTAGCACTCTCCAACATCATCTGATGGCACATATAACATTCATTTATATTCTGAATTTTTCTACAATCTTATTTCATACAAAATTTCACGTGATATGTTTAAGACCACAAGATTAAAGAATATATCCATGCATACTGCTCCATCTATCATCACTTGACTAGTATATTAAAAATAGTTGTCGAACTTTATTTGTCTAGTTTAGAAAAGGAAATCAAGAAATAATTTACTATTTTGTGTTTATTTTACCATTGCTATTACTTAGTACTATTCATTTGCCGATGTTGTGATGACTTATAATTAATAGGGGTGATATACTAAAATTATCATTTTATTTATTACTTCTTCCATTTCAATTTGTTTGACCTATTTTTATTTGCTTAAACTCTATGCAAGTCAAAATAGATCAAACAAATTGAAACGGAGGGAGTAATAAATGAAAGTGATGCTACTATATCACCTCTATTAATTATATAAGTCATTCAAACATGCAAAAATGTATAGTATTTATAAGCACGGATAAAATAAACACAAAATGGTAAATTATTTCTAGGTTTTCTGAGCCGAACAAATAAAGTTGAACAAGTACTTTTAGAATAGTAGACAAGTAACTATGGACGGAGCAGAATGCATGTTTGAGGGAGAATTTGCTTTGCAAGATACACTTTTATCATCCAAGAACCAACATGAACAAGGTTATTGCTATAACAAATCTTGTACAGACAAAAGATAAGACAAAATCTAACAAAAGCTCATCAAAATTGGGAAGTGAGATGTATATCTGCACAATGTATTCAAGACCACAAATTCAAAACTAAAAAAGATGAATGAGAAAAGTTGAAACCGGACCAAGTACAGCTAAACAAATTTAACAGTATGTTTTCTCAATTTTAACATTAGTCTTCATAATATTCATAAGCTCTCACCATTACCATTTGACCACCTACGGAGAGTGCTAGCAACGAGGCCCCTTCCTCCGAAAAAGCCAAACCATGGCTTCGATGCTGATGATCGTCCTACATTGCTCGTCGATGGAATATCACTAGCACCAATTATGGGTAGTGTAGCTGCAGTATGTTGAAACTCTGCTGCTTCTTCTATTGCTCCACCATCACTTGCACTACTATCCACAGGTTCAATATCAATTTCCCCACCATCAAGATTCACTGCTAGCGATTGCCTCCTAGCTCGTAACCTATCTGCAACATCACCCGTCACATGCTTGCACTTCTTCACCTTGATTTTCACCAAATTAGGGCAACCCCAAGCGAAAGATTCAATCCCTTGATCCGTTACTTCACATCCCTTGATACACAGCTTCTTCAAGGCCATACATTTTGTGGCAATACAAGATACTTCAGGATCTCCAATAGTGTCACTACCACAAAGAGCCAATCTTTCTAACTTTTTACAATTAGAAGCTATTGCCAATAGACTAGTCGACGTAGGATTCAGACCAATAAGCACCAATTCTTTGAGATTTGAGCTATTCTCAGCAATTGCTACTAAACCCTCATCCCCTATCCTATTTGTCCTCCATCCATCAATGTGAAGCTTCCTCAATAACTTGCACTTATTAGCCACTGCTACAACTCCAGCATCAGTGCATTCTGGTGTCTTCACCAAATGCAGAATCTCCAACTTTGGACAATTAGATATTGCTGTAAGTCCAGTATCACCAACTTGAAGCCTCTCCAAATGAATCTCAGAAACATGATTTTCCCTACTTCCAATTGTCTCAAAAAGCCTATCCCAATCACCTAAACACCTCAACAACTTCAAAGTCTTTAAATTCTTAGACCCAGTAATCAAAGGTGCAAAACATTGTCCATTATATAACTCTTTCAAACATATAGATTTAAGCGATGAAGCAGCAGCTCCTGGCCCAATTGGGTCAGCTGCAAACCCATCATTGATACCCCGAAGACGTTTCACAGATAATTCTTCAAGGGAAGAACAGTTATCAAGCAAAGCATTCATACCTTTGGCTCCAAACATGCAAGACCCACAAGAGAATTTCTTCAAACTCTTACAATTCCGAGCAAAAGCAGACATACCCACTTCAGTAACATCACGGCAACCGCGAAGCTTTAGGCGAATAAGTTTAGAACAACGAAGGGAGATAAGGGTCAAAGCTTCATCATTTATACTTACCGATTTCCGGTCACATCGGAGAGCAAGTTTCGTCACAGAATCGAAACGAGTGAAGATGGTGGGAACATGCGGAAGAATCTCAACTTTCGCGTTGAGGGCAAGACGGTGACGGCTTTGACCCTCCACCAAAAGCCATCTCCGGGAGACAAGGGAACACTTTTTCCGGTCACCGGAACTCAAACACTGGAAAATCAAAGCCAAACAATCATCAGGAAGATCATCCGTATAATCTCGGTTCCCCAAAACAAACGGAATCGGTGACTCATCTTCATCTGAATTCATAAGGGAGAAAAAATCGGACTGGGAATGGTCGGAGGCAGAACGGTGGTGATTGGGGAGTGGGGTAGGATGAAGGCTGCGGTGGCGATGTTTTGGCCCACCGCCGCAGTGGGTGGATGAATATTGGCCCATTTTGTTTTAGGGTTATAGAGATCTAGAGTTGGAAATGGGAAAAAATGGAGATTATGGAAAGAAGAGAAAAATGAGAAGAATTTATTAATAGAAGGAGGAGAGTTAGAGATTTGACCGGTTAAAAGGTAGAATATCAAAGGAAGGAAGAAGAGGAAATGTGCGCGTCCTCGTCAATATCGTCCATGGCCGACTAATATTGGAATATTTGAGTTGGAAGAAGCAACTATATGGACCAAAATGGCCTTGGCCATGGCCTTCTCTACTATCTATCTCCGTCCACTTTTAATTGTGATAATTTACTTTTTATCTCATATTCATATGTAAAAAATTGCAATTTATAATTTTTTTCATATAGTTTTTAAATATCTAAATTTTTTGTTCAAAATATCAAATTTAAAAATTAATCAAATTGACTTTCGAAAGACGCAATATGACAACTAAAAGTATATAGAGGGAGTACATACTTCTAATTTCTTTATTTGGACTTCTCTTTTAAATTGCAATTAACCACTTTGTATTAGTGTATCAATGGATCAAATAACTATATATTATGGAAAAACTTCACTCTAAGAGATTTCATTTAGCAAGGAACAAAAAAGAGAAATTCTAGCCAATTTATGAGTTATTTTGTTCGAACATTTAGAAATATATATAAAATCGACGTGATTAAAAAAGCATGTTCGAGAGTGTCCAAATACCTTTACACGTCACTTCTATAACTTATAACATAACCACTCATTTTTTATCTTATTGAATATATTTTTAGTGTCACTTCATTATTATAACACATTCAAGAGATTTTCTAATAGCAATCGCTTTAGCAATCATGACTTTCTTGACATATTGGGTTATAAATCCAAGGGCAAGAAACAATTTTCTAAGATTCCAAAGTCGCAAAATCAATATTTGTCCTCTGATCATTAGCTTGCAATCCCAACAAAATTCCATCTGGCATATTTGTTAGTTTAAGCACGAGATTTCTAATTAAGGAACTAGAAGTTTGTCCTTTGATAACGAATCTTTAGTTTGATATGTAATGATTCATTTTATATGCTAGGTTTTGTAAGAAAGGAAAATGTTTTAATTCTCCCTTCATCTAGAGGCAGAGACAACATATATGTATCGAATCTATTTGTATGTATACTTTTAATGAGAAACATAAATTTATATGTAAAAGTTTACTAAAATTGTAACAAACAATAGATATAAGCTCAGAATTTTAAAATACTATCAGTTTAATACTACAAATTTTAAATAATGAATCAACCTTTGCCTTCTTCTTAATGCAAGTATCTTAGTTTAACTACACATAAAATTTTAAAAAATAAAGGAAGACTTTGAATTTTGTGCTCCTAAATTAAAGATGTGTGTAATCTTTTAAATTTTTTGATCATAAACTTGTCATGAAGAATGTTAAGAGTTAGAGAAGTTACAAATATAGAAAAAATAAATTGAAATGACCTAATATTATAGATCAAATATAAAAATAATTAAAAAAGATATTTTCTCCGCACGAGACATACCCTAGCTCTATCCTACTTCAAGGGTTAATACCTCAGATGGTCACTCAACTATCCAGTCTTTCCTCAGAAAGTCACTCACATGGTGACTTTTTAGTGAAAATTAAAAGTTGAGTGACTTTCTGAGGCAAAAATAGATAATTGAGTGACCATCTGAGGTATTAACCCCTATTTCAAGTATCAAAACAGAAAAGGTCTTGTACAAATTTAATTAACTTGTGCACTATATAGTTAAAATATAGTTTATTAATGAAGAAAACATCACATTAAAGCTAAAATACAGAACTATTAAATAAATGGGATTTTTTTTTTGCGTGTGATGACTATGAAGCCCAAATAGCTTGTACATATTTCAACTAATCCACCTAACTTGCTATAATCTACAATCAGTCAATCAAGGGTATTAGGTAGACCTTTTCATCAATGCATGAGCAAATAACAAGTCGTTGATTTGGTTTAAATTCAGCAGAAAATTTTAAATAAGGTAACACAGTATTTATTTGGGTGAATTAGAAAAATATAATTGTCGCATAGCTAATGTTTAATGGGCAATATTAATAAATAGTACTCTTATCAAATTATATGAAAATTTGGGTATTAGGTATGACAATGTGAAATTAGAATGTGTATATTCCTATTAATAATGCAGAGACTAAATTATCAAACGGCAAAGTATCTTCTTATAGTAGTAAGTAATTTATTTTAAAAAAAAATACTTTACTATTGATCATACTACTACATACTTTTTGTGTGTGTACACTTAACATAAAATTAGGGGGGGAGCCAAATTGAACATACTAGAAATAAATAAATGGCGAGGCCACTAAAAGTTTAAAATTTGTCATATTCCCATTAGAGTTGCAGCACTCATCATAGTGCTAAATTATACCTAATACTTCTATCTAATTTTCCTTAGTGGAACATCTTAAAACTCATTTTCCACCTACCTATAGTTTGTTTTTGGAGAGGCATTTGCAATTCAGTTAGTGGTTAATGAAAAATATCATATAAGTGATGTATATATCTTCATTAGTATTAAATTTAAATAGACAAAATTATTTAATAAGTATACTAATAAAAGGTAATAAATACTCGTAAAATTTATTAAGATATGTATAATCTATTTTGAATTCAATAATAATTAACTTACTTTTGGGGAGAGAATATTATCCGCTAAGTAGGGGTGGAGACATAGGCGGACCAATCCCTATACGTGGGGGTGCACATGCACCCATTAACTTAAAAAATAAATCATGTGTATATATGTATATCTATCTTGACAAACGGATAGAAATTAGAATTTAGTAATTAATAGTGCACCCATTAAAAACATAGGAATATCATTTTATTGTTGATATAACATCCGCGAAATCTGAGTTTAAAAAATTCTGACTCCATCATTTCAGACACATTCTTCCATTTCATGTACATATAGAATGAGAGTGGAGGACGAAGGGGGCGGAGGATTCCTCAATTGCGGCCGGTTATTTGGGTGACTAATGACTATAATACAATTTTTGGTATTTGACTCGTTACACATCTATGCCTTCAACGTGTCTTTCTTGGGCGGACTTAACACGAGTTCGAAGTATAAAGGGAAAAAGAATTGGTCAAAAATTTCAAAATGACAATAAAAATAAATTTGTAATTAGAAGGGCAATATTTAAACTGTAAAATAAACGGCGTGTAAATTTGTTAAAGAAGATGGCGCAAGGTTCGTGCGCCTTATAAGGCTAAAGGTGACCTGCGCCTCTCTCCTTTTTTAAATTTTTTTTTTTGCATTCACTCCTATTTATAGCACACCAACATATTGACAATTGTTTAATTTAAGTATATAAAAGGACAATTTATAAAAGCCACAAGAAACTAATCCAAGATTTAATTAATCAATTAAGCCTCAATATCATTAATTAATTAACACAATTGTATAGAAACATTTGTAATCATTTTAATCTTCACAATTCTAACTCTCAAATTAATATTGGAGAACTCAATTATTGATTTAAATCTAATTTTCCTTATACAAGCAATCACAAATATGAATTTTCATATTCATGCTTTAGAAATCATGAAATCGTTTTTTTATGATTTAAACGGTAGGGTAAACTTCTTGTAAATAAAAAAAATCGATTTCATGATTTAAACGGAAGGGTAAACGTCGTGTAAACTAAAAAAAAAAATCATAATTTAAACGGTAGGGTAAACGCCGTGTAAACCAAAAAAAATCGATTTCATGATTTCTAAAGCATGAATATGAAAATCTATATTTGTGATTGCTCGTATAAGAAAAATAGATTTAAATCAATAATTGAATACTCCAATATTTAATTTGAGAGGAAGAATTGTGGATCAAAATGATTACAAATGTTTCTATAATTGTGTTAATTAATTAATGATATTGAGGCTTAATTGATTAATCAATTTTTTTATTAATTTCTTGTGGCTTTTATAAATTGTCCTTTTATATACTCCTTGCGCCTTCTTCTTCACCAAATTTACATGCGTGTATCCTACCGTTTAAATATTGTTCTTTTGATTACAAACTTATTTTTGTTGTCCTTTTGGAATTTTTGGCAATTTTTTTGCCCTTTAGGCTCCGGACTCGACTTAACACAACCATGTTTCTTCTTTCTTTGTCATCACCATAATGGTCCAAGACTTATCTAGACTATACACACTGCAAGAAAATAAAATAAAAATATGCATTTTGTATATACTAATTCAATTAATTTATATTTGCACTGAATCTACTTAGAGTATATTATTTCTTATTTTCAAATAGGAGGATCACAATTATTCCAGCATATTTAGAAACTAGTTAACTAATCCGCGCTTCGCGCAGTCAATTAAAATCTTATAAATTTTATGAAATTATATTTTTCTTAGAATATCTATATTAAAAAATTTAGTTAAATTTTTTTATAATGATCACGTATTCAAATTCTCTTCACAATTGGACAGTTCTAAAGTATTCAAATATTTTAACAGCATTTTTTTTAGATATTTAGTTGTATATACACATTCAACATTTTCTTTTATTTTGAGAAATATTATAAAAATATTATTACTTTATTAGCGTTCAATCTTTAATATAATTATATGATGCGGATCATATTGTACTTTGCTATTAAATATGTTTTTAATAAAAAAAAAACATCATATTTCGTTGCATATAATTATGGTCAAGCACTTTACATTCGTTTAAAAACAATTTGTTTAAGTGTATGTGCAAATTGACTTCGTTAAGATTATTCCATAATTTTTTACTGAAATAGGTGGTCACAAATGAGGTGGAAATAATGCTCGTTTGGATTGACTTTTATTGTTTGACATATAAATCAAAAGTAATAAGTTAAATTTTTTAATTTATGGTTTTTGACTTATTTTTATCACTTTAGCTTAAAATCAAGTTCTTCCAAGTACTTTTTTAATTTACCTAAAAACTCCAAAAGTGCTTAAAAGCTATTTTAGCATAGAAGCACTTAAAATAAGTTAATTCAAATAGCTATTATTTCCATCACTAATATTCATTTTTCTGTGATTTTCATATAAATCAAAAATAAAACAACTAATTGGTTATTTTATCATAATTTTTTTACTTAGCTGAACATAATACAAACAAATTATACTACATATTAT